ATAATATTAATGCCTAAGAGTATGTCCTATTCACTAGGTGATCTTAATAAAATATTTCTGGAAATTTATTTATGTAATATTTGTTTGCCAGAAGAAAGATTCAGTAAGGATGATCAAAACATCTGTGATATCTAATTCTTGGAATATTTTTTTCACTACTAAATACTTATTTGTAGAATTATTAAATGGGAATGTTGAAAAACCTTCAGATTGAAAATGAGTAAGATATTTCTGATAACATTTTAGCTGTTCATTTTCTCATTCACCGCAGCAGTAATTTATCTGCTAATGTTGTAATAATGACTTTTGTCAACTTCTATTTCAGAAATTGTTTTTTAAATTTAAATTGAATGTGTAGAAAGAAGGGAAGGGTTTTTACTTACATGATCTCACCAGACATTTAAGTTTTCCTTTTTGATTCTTGTTATTTTCCCTTGGAGATTTTTTTGATATGCTCATGATAGTAAAGTCACTCACCTACCCTTAGGTGTTTTTACTTGTACATTGAGAGAGCAGTTTTTTCATAACTTGAAACAATTCTGTTTGTGGAACTGTTTTACTTTCCTCAATTTCATTTGAGCCCATTTCCTGGAGATTTGTGATTCTAAAAGGAAGCATAGTTTTGAAAAAGCTTGTTGGAGAGTCTGACTTGCATACACCCTCTGAAAACCATTGCTTCAGAGGGAGTGTTTGTCCTTTTCCATGTTTGTCAAGATAGAATGATAAAGTATATCAAAGTGATCGTGACTTTGAAGAAAGACCAATTAGAGAGACAAACTATTTAAATATGAGGACTCTAAAGCCCTGAGGAGTTGTTTCTAACAATTATGTAAAGAAGAAATTAATGTAAAACATTTTATGTTAATTTTACTACTGAGTTATCTTCTGGACTTTTTTTCCATTCTGCATTTGATTCCTAAACTTTTACCTCTCCCATAGTACTTGATTCACACCCTAAATGTAGCATTTTCTACATTATATTAAAGTTATTGTCTCTCTCTTCTTTAATTAATTGTACATTCCTGATGTTTAGGACATTGTTTGGTACTTTGATGTATTTCCAGTTATTGAGTTTTTGTGATTCTCAAAATAGCAATCAGATCTTAAATACTTACATGAATCAGGTGCTCACTTTATGTAACCTGTGGATTAAATTAGGAATTTGGTTTATTATTATCTTATTGTAATATTTTACTAGTTTGTGTTTGTATGACTCTGTAGAACAAAGGTAAAACTCACAGGTTATTTGGATGGCAAATATCATGGAACCTTGACAAAATGATCTATTCCAGAACTTGATTTACTGTTATCAAGATAGCCAAAGGTATTAAATCTTTGCCTTTTATTTAGTAGTTTGCTGATACAGGTTTATACTTTAGTCATCTGTGGACTCTGGGTTAAAAACATTGCTTTTCTCGATTGTGGTAGCAAGTTCTTAATTTCTTTTCTTTTTTGCAGTTGGAGTGCCTCAAGCTTATTGCCTCTCAAAAATTTACAGACAAACGCATTGGCTATTTAGGGGCAATGCTGCTGTTAGATGAAAGACAAGATGTCCATCTTCTCATGACCAACTGTATCAAGAAGTAAGTTTTACCTTTCCTTTTTCTAGCAAATATTTTGCTCTTTTAGATCTTTCTTATAATTTGACACTAAGAGCTTCTATTTCCTGATTCTATATTTACCGTCCAAGATGTATTTGAATAGCACTTGGTTCAGTAGCTTATATGTGAAAAGGCCAAGCAAAGGATTAAAACTTCTGTGGGAGATAATTGATTAAATTAAGTTATTACTGTGCATCTTCAGGCATAAAAACGCAAGTTAGCAATGAAGTAAACATTTGGGTTTTCATAGAAAGGAAAAAGCATTGGTCAAATCTGGGCTTTCATATATTTCCAAGACATTGAATACCATGAATAAGGAACTTAGTTTTGGGAGAATTTTTGGTTTTTGGCTGTGAAATAAGAATTAATAATGAAAATAGTAAGTTGATTCATTTATGCAACAAATAGTTATTGTGTGCCTGCTATGTGCCAGGAGCTGTTGCAAGCACTGGGGTGGAGAGTGAAAAAAATGGACAGAAATCCTTGATGTCACGAAGGGTACATCCTAGGTGTTTAGCATGACTCTCTTACACATTTACTCTGGATAGGCCTCGAACAGAGTTCTTTAACTTTTGTTCTTGCATGCTCTGTTGCCCTTATTACTCAAGCTTTCAGTCATATGCTGATAATTTGGCAGTTCTGCCTGGCAGCAAGTTCATATAAGAGTTTTAATAAGAAACTTAAGTTTGGGTTTGTGTTTGATAAAAATTGAAGGATGAGGCACATAGGTAAAGAAAAAATCTTTATGTTTAGTTTTAATGAGGCTCAGCCAGGCACCAAGTGAATTTAGGAGAGAGCTACTTTTTCAAATAATTGGGAATTGATCTTGCATTTCATTCCAAACTTTGGATCATTCAGTCTTTTTTAAAAAAAAAAAAATAGGATAATGAATGTGGTTTGTGTGTGTGTGTGTGTGTGTGTGTGTGTGTGTGTGTGTGTGTGTGTTATTTTTTTTTTTTTGGTGGGTTTTTTTGTTTGTATTAGAGGACATCATAGTGTACCAATAGTTTTTATTCTAAATAATGAATGTTTGCTACATTTTTCGTTTTGCTTAGAAAAACTCTAAGACATTAATGATCTTAGAATTAAATCTTTAAAAATTCGGCTCTGATATTTTAAGAACTTGCATTATGAAAAGTCAACTAAATATTTTTGGGAACTGAGAGCCTAAGTGGTAAAGCCATAGTTAATATTCAAGGTTCATTTTACTATTAATCTTTATCTTAAACTATTCAGTTTGGTGAAAAGTAGCAAACCTGGCTAATTTACAATTTACCTTCTTTTCCTTTCTTCATTTTGCTTCGAAGACTGTTTATTAGTTCATTAAAAAAATACTAATGAACTCATTACATGTTAATATAAATAACATTCATTATGAAAATAATCTATTTTCTAAAAGAAAAAAAATTCAGTGTGAAGAGTGACATTATTTTATGTTTTTGTAAATCTCTTTAATGTCTAACTTAATGGAAGACAGCTGGATGCTCATATCTGCTTCTGTATTCAATTTCTTATGTCATGTTGCTTTGATTGAAATTGATGAAGAAATCCAGCCTCTCACTGATAATGTAATTAGAAAAGGGAAGAGTATTTTAATAACCTTCTCAAATAACTATGGATATTCTTCCTTGATACTATACTAAAAGTGGACAAGTGATAGTTTCTTAAATGTTAGGTTCAGTGTGGAATCTGAAACCATATCATTCAAGTTTTGGTACTTTGTTAGATTAAAACCATTGGTCTGTCTTGTACCTCGAGTGAACCTTTTTACTCATGCATAATTTTGTAACATCATGCCTCGGCTCAGTGTGGAATCTGAAACCATATCATTCAAGTTTTGGTACTTTGTTAGATTAAAACCGTTGGTCTGTCTTGTACCTCGAGTGGACCTTTTTACTCATGCATAATTTTGTAACATCATGCCTCGGCCATTTGGAAAAAATTGGTTTACTGAGTTATGCAGATCTTCTAAATGTTAATATATCTCGTCATAGAATATTAAAAAATCACATAGGTTAATATTACCACAGATCTCATCAGAAAAGTCTTAAGTATTAGTAAACTGTCAAGATGATGGTGGTGATACAGGTTTTCTGGAATTCTCATTTTCACTTCAAAGCTTGGATTTTATCATTGGCAACAAATATTGTCAGTTGTTACTTTGAAGTAATAGGCTCACGTGGCTCTTTGTCCAGAAAATGTCTGCCAAATACCCAAATCTTCATAACCATAGTTGTCTGTCAGTTATTTTTCAAATAAAAATGATGTCCATCTCTAAAGTAGCTGGTTTATAGTTCAGCTTGCAAATGAAACAAGTACACAAGTGTTTTTCTCTGAGACTGCCATTTTACTTCACTAGGCATCAAAAGTAAATTATGCATACTTCCCATTTTGTCATACAGAATATTAAAAAGATGTGTACTCAAGAGTTGAGATTTAGGAAAACTAATAATTTTTACTGCTTTTTCATGGGATATCTTAAATGAAACTGCCTTTTTTTTTTAACTGTAAATATGTGGCAGCAAATACAGTGACTACTATAGTGTACAGTTTAGTGCCCCTGCCTTGATTTGTGCTTAATGCACCAGCAATTTTTCCCACCACTGCTTTTGCACCATCAGTACAAATGTCAACACAATTGACAAATAATGTCTTAGGATTATGAAAATAGTTTGGATTGCATGACACTCTGAAACAGTCTTGGGGACTTAAGAGCTTGTGACCCAAACTTTGAGAACCACTAAAGGATACTGAAATGGTCTGAAAGCTGGTAGAAATAGCATAACATATAATAATTCAGCTTCTGAATAGCAAGAGTTGATTATAATATATAAATGAGTTTGCTGGTTCAACCTTTTAATAGTTCAGCTTTTCTGAAAGTATTTTTCCTCGCTTATTTGGAAGTAATTTTATATAGTAATCAATGCCTGTTAGAAAGAAGATTTTGTGTATATGTATTACCAGATATGGAGGCTTACTGTAAATATCTAAAGCTTAGTTTGTTAAAGGTGGTTTTATTAGTTCATTTTTATCATAGTAATGGACAGTTATTAATTTTTCTTTTCATGAATAAATATATAAAAGTGTAAAAGTTATTTAATGTAGCATCAAGGTTAATACTAAAGCATGAGACCAAAGGTTTCAGAAGGTAACTAAACTTTTGTTTGGATGTTTATATCACCCTAAATGCTCTAGCAGTAGAGATTGTGTTTTTTGATTTTTTTTAAAAAGGGCTTTGATAAATGTGTATCTTACCTTTTTTGTAGTTAGTAGTAGAGCACATTAAGAAAATCTTCTAAGGACACAGTTTTTTTTTTATCATTGCCGGTTTTTACTTTCAACAGTTTGCTGAATTTTCTAAAATGGGAGGGTTTTTGTTGTTGTTTTCTTTTTGGCTGCTGGCTGGTAAGGGGTTCTGAACCCTTGACCTTGGTGTTTTCAACACCATGCTCTAATCAACTGAGCCAACCAGCCAGTCTAAAACAGGTGTCTTTAACATACAACAGATAACATGTCCAATTTCTCCTTATTCGATATTTGGGTTGTAAGCCTGTAGGAGGGACTATCAATCAGTTCACTGTACTGATAATTTGTAATAAAGTTGGAATAAATATTTTCTGCAACAAATAATCCTATTAACTATTTTCATTATTGGAGAAATCTTGAGTCATTCTGAACCAGTTTGTTAGATTGTGAAGCTTCTTCACAGATAACATCAGGCAGAGCATGTTGTTTCTACCTTTTTGCTTTCTTTTGCAGTGATCTTAATCATAGCACACAATTCGTACAGGGGCTAGCACTTTGTACCCTTGGCTGCATGGGCTCCTCAGAGATGTGCAGAGATCTTGCAGGAGAGGTAGAGAAGCTCCTGAAAACCTCCAACTCTTACTTAAGAAAAAAGGTAACTTTTAATGAAACCAAATGTCTGTATTCAGGTTAGGAAGTATTATGGAGATGAGAAGACAGATTACTCATATTTGAAAGCCCTGTTGATGATAGAAAGTATTTTTCTCTGTGTAGTAAATATCTTTTAAGTAGTTATACATGAATCTTAATTCCTCTTTTTTCAAGGAAATGATTTATAAACAAACAGATGTTCCTGGATATTCTAGGTGGCACATCTAATCAATTCCTAAATTATCTGATTCTGAACAGTATTAAAACAGAGTGATGATGATGAACAGATCTTTGTGGATTTACTTTTATCCTAATAATTAGTGCCATGTCTTTGTGTTAGTGCCTTTGTATCTCTGGAAGTGCATTAGGACCCGTTTTCTAAAACTGGTATGTTTGAATGGAATACTCATGGAAGAGAATTATCTTATTCTCATAACTTATCTGCTTTTATTTGATTATAAACATTTTATTGAGTATTTTTAATTGTGCTTGAATCCCAAAACCTTTGTTAACAAAGTATATAGAATTTAGAAGTCTAAGAAATGAACGCATAACTATCATCTGTTTGGCATTTACTTGCTTCTATATTAATGGTGTGAGGAAGAGGTGTTAAAAGGGCCAAGCCATTTCCCAGGATGATATGCTGTTCATGATGGCTGCAAACAAAGTTAAATTCTTTCTTTAATTTGTAAGCAAGTCCTTTTTCTTAACAATGTGTGAGCTACTCTTGTTCAGAGGGTACATTATTGCATTAAATTAACATTCCTGCACATTGGAAAAAAAAAATCTTTTCTTTCCCAAATATAACATGGGAGGAATTAGAAATCTTTTCTTGTTAATCTATCTAAACTTTTATGGTATTTGACCCAGATAAACAGTAGTTATGGTTATTTTGGGGGTTACCAAAATTAGTCTTTAAATGTACCTTTCCAGTGAACAAGATAATGTGACCATCTTTTCTTTAGTAGAGGCTAGTTAAGTATCTTTCAAATGATTTTCTTGATGTCAGCAGAGAGTCTGTTGGAGGCGGTATAAATACTGTTAAACATAACAGCAGATTTATAGCATCTGCAATTTATATCTTTCAGTTGCATGATGTTTTTATACCTGTTGGTCATCTTACCCAGAGGATTGATTATCTAATAGATGAAGGTCCTTATTTATTTTTTTACTTCCCTAAGATTACACATAAGTTATATTTAACTAGTTTGATACATTCAAATTAACCATGGTCTAGTCTGGAAAGTTTTTGCCCACTTGTCTAGCAATATATGAACAAAGGGGCAAGAGAGCTAGAAGTTCTCATTAATGCAGTAGTATAAATTGGAAAGCCCAAAGCAGTTAATAAACAATAAATCTCATATCTAGCTTCTTTCTTTTTTATTTTTCTAGTAGATTACTAGTTGGTGAGTTTTTTTTTTTTTTTTTTAAATAAGATTGGTTGCCCTGGTTTAATTATTAAAATAAATCTTTTGTCTTTTTATTTTATTTTTTTTAGGCAGCACTATGTGCTGTTCATGTCATCAGGAAGGTTCCTGAACTTATGGAGATGTTTTTACCAGCAACAAAAAATTTATTGAATGAGAAGAACCATGGTAATGTAATTTGGGTACACTTATGAAGTACTGACGGATAAAGGGAAAGTGAAAAGGCTTAAGGCTATATTAGCCCTATGTCTCAGTGCAGTGGAGTTGCCTTTATACTCTGCTTAGATACTGTTCTAAGAAGTTCTGTTCTGCCCAATCTCTCTTCTACTCAGATACTCTAATTTTATAATTAGAGATGGATTCCTTCATAGTAAACTTTTCTTTCATCTTTGGTCCTCTTTTACTATATTAAATTACTAATATTCAGTGATCCTAATCTTGATTTTCATGTGTAAAATCTTTTTACTTCTTGGCTATTTTATAATAAAAGAAAAAAATTTTTCCCCTTCATTGTCATGTGAAAATTCTTTTGGGTTATTTCTAACAGGAATTTGTAATGGGTACTCAGATATCTTTTTATAAAACTTAAGAGGAATTAGGGCCGATCCTGTGGCGCACTCGGGAGAGTGCAGCGCTGGGAGCGCAGCGCCGCTCCCGCCACGGGTTCGGATCCTATATAGGACTGGCCAGTGCGCTCACTGGCTGAGCGCGGTGTGGGTGACACCACACCAAGGGTTGTGATCCCCTTACCGGTCACGAAAAAGACAAAAAAAAAAAACTTAAGAGGAATTAAATGGAATGTGGTTGTTCTTTTCCCACTTTATTCTTATTCTGAAGTCAGTGAAACAAGTTCTGAGTAAAGAAATTTGATGTGTCTTAAGTGCTAAGAGGAAAAATGGTATTGTAGAACACTCAAAATATACTTGTTGAACAAATAAATGTTTAGGGCATGTATTTATTATGTAGTGAAAAGTATGGTGAGATTCTTTTTACTGACTCTGGAGCAAGCAAATTCCCTTTGTCATTCACGATAACAGAGTTTTGATACATTTTATCTGTAAATTTTTTTTCCCCCCCTGAGGCCAGCTGGTACAGGGATCTGAACCCTTGACCTTGGTGTTATCAGCACTAATCATGCTCTAACCGAGTGAGCTATCTGGCCAGCCCCTGGACATTAAAAATCTTAAGATTTTTGCCTGTTGAATTATCTGTCAGAACTCAGCTAATAGCTTATTGATTAAGAATAGAGCAGATGATACCTAGCTTATGTCAACTGCAAGCATGTTTTTATAGATATTCTTGGATGGAGAGACACATGTATTGGTTATCATTTTTTAATAATTATATCGGTCACATAATTGTTAAAAATATTCTGATTTACAGTGCTCCCCCCAAAAAAATTCTGATTTGACTGACTTGATCAGTATTAAATCAGCAGGCAAGTACTTCCTTTGTCTTTGCCTCAATGCTTAGATTCTTTGGGGGATTAAAAAGCAAAAGTAGCCACTGTCCTTTTGGAATTGGCCTTCAGGAATTCAGAAGCCCCGTTCTGTGAAGTTGAACAATATAACCTCATTTTTAGTTTTCCTTTGATCTTTCATTCAGGTGTCCTTCACACATCTGTAGTCCTCCTCACAGAAATGTGTGAGCGAAGCCCGGACATGCTTGCTCATTTCAGAAAGGTAGGTGCCATTCTGTATGCCTGTCTTTCTTGACTGAAAAATGATTTTCCTGAAAAGTACATGATTTTTTCACTTATGATTTTCTTTTGAAAGCAAGCTATGGAGCTGAAAAGGATTTAACCAGCCCTGTTGTGTGGTAGGGCTGGAAGTCAAATTTAGGCATATAAGAACTGGCATTAGTTCAGTGTTTTCCCTTTCATAATAGAAGTCTCCTCATTGTTGGCAGACACACAAATCTCTCACGTGTTTTTATCTGCTGTTTTCACATTTGCGTCAGGAAACATAACCTGAGGTCAGATTACAAATAGGAATTGTGTGTGTGTTTTTTTTAAAGAAAGTAATTTCTATTTTTTTTCTTTCCTTTTTTTTTTTTTTAAGGTGAAAACTGCAAACTGAAATTTGATTTTTATTACTTTTACCCTACTGTTCATTTTAGGCCGTTGACTCCCATGATGGGAGTCCTAGCTTTTTTAAGTTTCCCCTCCTTCCTTTTTTACTAGCATTTTATAATGGACTTTTCTGTTTCTCCAGTTACTTTTAATTAATTAATTAATTAATTAATTAATTAATTAATTAATTAATTAATTTTAAAGATGACCAGTAAGGGGATCTTAACTCTTGACTTGGTGTTGTCAGCACCACGCTCAGCCAGTGAGCTAACCGGCCATCCCTATATGGGATCTGAACCCGGGGCCTTGGTGTTATCAGCACCATACTCTCCCGAGTGAGCCATGGGCTGGCCCTCTCCAGTTACTTTTAGAAGGCAGCAGTAAGGAAGACTCAGAGAAAGATCATTCTTTAGATAGTTTCTCGCATTTAACTCCTTTTATAGGATGCTAATCACTCCATAATTAGGGCTCACTTTGTACTTTAGATCTAATATGCTCTAACAGCAGTCCTTTTCTTTGGCTCCCCTCCTCCCCCCCTTTAGGTGTTCATGTCTTGATTAAATTATTGTAAAATAGTATGAGACTCGTATCTGTCCCTAATGCTTGCTTTGTATGTTTTGTTCCTGTTGTCTGTTTGGAATCCTGCTGTATGTTAGAATGAAAAGGTAAGAATTAACCCTTTTTTAGATGGTGCATGCTGGCATTAGGTCCTTAGTAGCTTTTGTGTATTCATCCACAAATGTGGCTTTTAAAATATACTAGTGCTGGAGCTGTGCTTAATACTGTGAGTTATTTGTTCTAGCATTTTTGGCTAACTCCCTAGTCCAGTTTTTGTCTTGTCACTTAAACTCCCAACTCCAAAGTCAGCCTTGGATTTCAGTTGCAGCCTTTCCTGAATTGTAGCCTTCTTCTCTGCCTTTCCTTTATTTTCTCTTGAGAAGCTTTGAGCAGTTCCCCAGTGGCTTTGGTGATGGCGGTTGCAGATCAGCCTGGAGCCTTGATACAAAACACTGCTTCTTTTTGGAGTAGATATTTTAGAGCCATATGTCAGTAACTTCATATTTTAAAAAACTTTGTGT